TGTGTGTGTGTGTGTGTGTGTGTGTGTGTGTGTGTGAATGTATGCATACGAATGTACGCAGGTACCTGCAGAGTCCAAAAGAAAGCATTGAATTCTTTGGAGCTGGGGTTACAGGAACCACAGCCCTGAAAGAAAAATGGCCCCATCCCAGCAGTCCGCCCAGCCTAGCAGCTAGCTCCTCCCCAGCAGCCAGCCACGCCCTAGCAGCCAGCACTTCCCCATCAAGCAGCCCCTCCCCAGCAGCCAGCCCTGCCCCCAGCACCATCAGTTGCTAGAAGCTCTTCAGAATGGGTACAGCCTCATGAGCCACTCCATCCAAAGTACGTTCGTTGAGTGGACTGTGTGCGGGTACCCACAGCTGCAGTGTTCTTGAGTGCAGCGCTGCGCCATGTCTAGAAAACAGCATTCCACCGGGTGGCTCTCCATCCTCCAGCATTCATATTCTTTCACCTCTCTTCCTTGATATTTCCTGGGCCTTGGAAGGAGAGGGGTTGGCATAAAAGTCCCATTAAGAGCTGAGCACTCAACAGTCACCTATTCTCAGTGCTTGGGCTTGGCTTGGGACAGTATCTAAAGTACAAACAAGAATTAATGGACGCAATAACTTTTTTTTTTTTTGAGACAGTATCTTATGTAAGCCAAGCTGGCCTTGGATTCCTGCTTTTGCCATCCAAGAACAGAGATTATAAATCTGAGCTACAGGCCCTGTTCAATAAATATTTTTGAAGTGTATAATTTATCAGGGATATCTGGTAAATAGTTTCAGAAATGTAATTGTTTTTGAGAGATAATGATTTTACCCGTTTCTTTACAATGATGTCAATGAATTTTTCTCGATCACAGGGTACAGCAAATGTGTCCTGATCGGCCACGACTGGGGAGGCATGATTGCCTGGCTGATTGCTGTCTGCTACCCTGAGATGATAATGAAGCTCATCGTTATTAACTTCCCACATCCAAGTGTGTTCACAGGTGAGCTTGAACTTTTATTAAGCTACTTCTGCCAATGCGATAATTCTGTTATGCCCAGATCACAGGGTCTCCACAGACCACCAGAAACCACCAGAAATCCAACTCATATGCAAAAGCAAAGAGTCTATACTCCAGCTTGAGCTCAGACCCTCCAACCTCTCCAGCACAGTGGATCACAATGTGGAAGGTACTGAGTTGGTACAAGCCTTGCCTTTTTATCATGGCTGCAGCAGGGTGAAGGACTTTCCAACTTGGCAGTTACAAGTTTGGTTGGCATTTGCTTGGCACATTTCTACTGGTTAGCAATGATTTCAGCTTAGTATGAACAACAGTTGCTAGCTTAATCAATCTATTTTGAGACATTAGTAACTTTCCCCTGAGAACTGATTGGTTGTTATTAGGGGTGGAGTGGCTGTTTGTTTAGGGAAATTGTGGTTGTTGCTAGGGTGACATGGTTCCTGGACCGAGTTGGAGTTTTTCCAGCTACTGAGTTCATTCTAAGGGCAAGTTAATCATAAAATGGAGTCTGAAAGCAAAATAGGGTTTGTAATGTTAAGTTGGGCCCTTCAAATTCACCATCACCACTGACACTTTGGATTCAAACCAGCAAAATTTGGTTAACATAATCTTTTAAAAAATTAAATGAAGTCTGGGTCTGTGGTCATATCTGTAATCTGAGCACTTGGGAGGTAAGACAGGAGGGTGGGGAGTTCAAGGCCAGCCTGGGCTACACAGTGAGACTGGGACTCAAGGATAGATACATAATAAATAAATAATGAATAAATAAATATAACCAACTAAACAAAGATGGCACATGATACATGATGTTAGACAGCTTAATTTGTTGGTTTGTTTTCTCAGGCAGTGCCCTACATTGTAGCCCAGGCTGACCTGAATCTTCAATATTTCTGATTCATCCTCCCAAGTGCTGGGATTATAGGCATTTTCCATCAAGCCCAGCTCTGACTCTGTGTGTGTGCGTGTGTGTGTGTGTGTGTGTGTGTGTGTGTGTGTGTGTGTGTGTGTGTTGTGAACTAAGCCCTGTTCTCTAAAATTGCTAGTGAGGCACTCTACCACTGAGCCACACTGTCAGCTTTTAAACCTTCCTGGGGGGGAAAAATCTAAGAAAATTTAGCTTCCTATTTGCTTATATAATTTTATTCTTTTTGGACAATATTTCACTTAACTTGGAAAGGGATGAGAGAGGAAATCTGGTGGCAGTGCTTTGAAAATCATAAATCCTGGCAGGAATTAATTCTCCTCTTTTCTGAGTCCTTTAGCTGTTGAACACAAAAGTAGTCTTTAGAGCAGTAATCCTCAACTGTTTGAACTCAGGAATTCTTTATGTTCTTAAAATTATTAAAGATCCTGAGGATATTTGTTTATCTAGGTTATTTCTATAAGTAATCACTACTTAGGAAATTAAAATTGGGATATTTAAAATACGTTTATAAAATAAAACCTATTACATGTTCATATAAACACCGCATTTTGATAAAACTAACTAGACTAAACAAAAGTACTAACTACACTGAATCAGTTTTACTGAAAAGAATGTTTCACATTTCACAAATCTCTTTAATTCTGGCATAGCAGAAGACAGCTGGGCTCTTCTCTCTGCTTCTACCTTCAATCTGTTGCAATATGTTCTTAGAACAGAAGTGTGAGAAGAGATCTGGCCTCACACAAATGTGTCTGAGGAAAAAGCACAAGTATTTTCACATCCCTATCGTCTTCTTCTACCCAGCCCATGACCACGCCCACTCCCAAGTTCATGACCAATTCTTTTCTAGTGGTTGTTGTTACACATATACATACGAATGAATAAACATATAAACACAACCACTGAGTCTGTTGAGTGTTGCCATGCATATGTTTCTAGGGCTGACTACTTGGTGTTAGATAACCAATCACAGGCCTCATCCCCAGAGAAGACATTCTCTCTGAGCAGTTGTAGCTCTTCACACAGGGGTGGGACCCCATGAGATTTCTCCTAATTATACTGAGATGGCAACTGGTATTGGAATCGTTCAGGTCTTGTTTAGGCAGGTACCCATGTTGCTGAGATCTCACAGGTATGGCTTCCCTGTCATAGCTTGAAGGTACAACATCACAGCAGACCTCCTGATTCCCTCTCTGGCTCTCAAAAATCTTTCTACCCACTACTCTGCCTTCCCTAATATTTCTTGAGCCTTAGGTGCAGGAGCTGAACTGTAGATGTATCACTTGGGGCTGAGCATCTCAAGGTCAGTTGTTCTCTGTGTTTTGACTATTGAGGTCTTTGGTAATAGTTTTCATCTGTTGCAGAATTAAGCTTCTTTGATGAGGTAAGAAGTGAGCACCATGCTTATCTGTGGGTGTGAAGGATGCAGTTAGGAATTACACTGGTTTGGGAAAGTACCAACAGCAGGATCATCTAAGGTCTGTAACCTCACTAGCCATGTATATTTGACTAGGAAAGCTAGAGTGCTTTAATAACCTTTCAAATAATTGAGGGTTTTCTTAATACCTTACTAAGCTAAAAAAAAAAAAGTAATCATTTAATAAAGGTTAGCAAAAATATTACCCAGATGTTGAGATCTGTGACTCTTTGTAGCATTTTGAATGGCTCTTACTGAATTGTTTGAATCGTCATGCATTGAAACATCATTGGCTTGCAAACTCTTGCAGACTTTCAATACCTGACATGTTTTTAAAATCACATTAACTAATGCAACAGAAAAGTCTTCAATATTGAAATTTTCTCTAGCTCCTAGCAGCAGATTAAAATGTTTCAAAAATTCCTCTTTTCAGTTGAAAGTCTGAATCGTATCAATGACAGCAGACGCTGAGGGTTGATTCTTTTAAGTTGCCTGTTGCATTTGTTTTCCGATTATTGGTTGGGACTATAGCTGACACCTCTGATCTCAGCATTTAGGAGGCAGAAGCAGGAAGAGTTCTGTGAACTGTGAACTTGAGGCTAGCCTGGTTTATATAGAGTGACAGGGCTGCCTAGTGATCCCTGTTGACTAAGGATAGTTAGTACATCTTTCCAGTAAAAATGGCATTCCATTAAAAAAAAATGAAGTATCCTCTCATTAATTCAGCTGTACATGTGCTTTTCTTTACTTCTTGTTTTGAGACAGGGTCCCAATATGTAGCCTTGGCTGGCTCAGAACTCATTATGTAGAACAGACTGGACCTGGAACTCACTATGTAGACCAGGCTGTCCTCAAACTCATGGAGATTCCTCTGTCTCTGCCTCCCCAGTGCTGGGAGTAAAGGTGTGTGCCACCTGGTGACAAGTGCGTCTCTTGAGATCATTCTTATATTCGGGCGAGTAGCATAATTATTATGTTCTCTACTTCGGTCATAAGATCTATAAAAAAGATATTCTCCAAGGCAGAGAATTAATAAAATTAAGGTTTTGTTATCTCATTGTTAAGTGAAACTGGCTTTTAATTGGATTAATTAGCTGGTTTATTTACCACAACTGTGCAGTGGTGAAGACTGCACTGACCGTTAGTGTTTGTTGTAAGGGTCACTGTGTTGACTTGTGCTCAAGCAGACGCTCTTCCCTACTGTTGCTTTGTACCATCAGTGCAGATTTCAACATGGCTAAAATAAGCAAATAATGCCTTAGTATTGTTATGAAATGGACTGATCCTCGCTTGGATACCACAAAGGATCTTGGGAACCCACAAGGATGCTCAGGAGAGGACAGTTTTGAAGGGAACTCTCAAATGCTTAGTAGTGATTAACACCTTGTTAACAATGTTTGTATTTGACTTTGGAAAAATTATAATTTTGTCCTTTTAATTACTTCTGTTGGGCTTTCTGAAGTTCAGGTACTACTAGGATACACAGCAATTATTTAGGAAACAAAAGGTTCAGAACTTGGAGCTGATGAGGTGGCTCAGCAGGTAAAGGGACTTGCTACCAACCTTAATGAGCAGAATTCCATCCCTGTAACCCACATAGTGGGAGAATTGGCTCCCACTGGTTGTTCTCTGATCCCCATAAGCTTATTAAGGCACATGCACACCTACATACAAAATCATATGTTATAATAAATATTTTTTTTTAAAGTTCAGAACAACACTTTTCAATTTCTCCTCAGAATTAAACCATCGAGGATGACAAGGTCCCAATGACTGGATATACTGCATATTTTCAGTATGGGGTTGAATTTTAGGTACACTTCCACCAACTGATCTCTGTCAAGGTAGGGCAGGATGGCTGTTTGGTATTGAAATGCCCTAATAGTTGTTACACTTTTCTCAGTTAAATTAAGTAACTGAAGTCCAATGGCATGCCTGCTGAGTCATCAGGACCCTGAAGAAGATGTTATTTGTTAGTGGTGCTATATGATAAACTGTAATTCTTGGCTTCATAAGGAAGGTACTTGGCATAATTATAGACCATGTTATCAATGACAGCTTTACTCCTGTTAGAAATAAGTATGGGATTGGGAAGAAAGAGACATCCAATCCAACTGAAGCATCTAGACAAGCAAATTTTACTCTTGATCAAGAGGATGTGCTTGAAAGAGCAAACAAACCAAGGAATTCAGTCCACTAGGTTCTTATTCTAACTCAGGTGGCACCTGTGTCTTTTCCCCCATCAGTTGGGGGGGTCTAATGTCACAGTCTTAATTGGCTAGTTTGAAAAGAATTGTCATACAGGAAAGGAAGGACGAGGATAGGGTCACTGCTCCAAGGAAAAAGGATCACTATTCGGGGGCCATCAAATTCCCAGAATATCCAGCAGACCTTTCTGTAAACAAAAGTTTTACTTGGGGTGAGCAAGTAAAACATGTGCATAGGCTGTGGGCGTGGATAGAAATTTGAGTTACTTGTTCTAAACACGAGTTTTAAAGTGCTTAATAGGGAAGATTTGTATTTGATGTTTCTTATAATCCTACCAAGCATTTTCAGATGTTTTGCCTGGATTTGTTTTCCTTCAGTTGAATTGATTTCTCTTAATTTGACAGTGAATAAAGCTTCAATGGCGAATTCACAAAACATCTAGCATAGCAATGGTTAGTATTCCTAAAACCTCTAGACAAAATGAAAAATAAAACACAAGTCTCCATAGGAAGCAGAACAGAACACAGTATCAGTCAGGCTGTGTGTGTGATCAGATTTCTCCTGCTTTGTCTTCAGTGTCTTGCCAAGTAATTAAAATACTTACCATTCCATACCTATCCAGGCAGGCTCCTCCTCCTGACTCATCTCACGAGCCTCCTCCTGTCCTGAACGCTGGCCACACTGGATTTCTATCTGCTGCTTGCCTATCTCAACCCCAGGACCTGGCTCCCTCTCACCATTCAAAACTAAGCCCACCTGTCAGGTGCCATACCCAGAAGGCTTCTCTAGCCATCTCTATTGATGGTCTCCCCACTCTCTGTCCCTACTGTCACTCTCAATAAGATTGCCTTGTTCTGTGTTTCATTTGTGTGTTGCTGGGGATTGAACCCAGAGCCTTGTGCACATTAGACAAAGCACTTTACCACTTATACACAAGTATGCAGTAAAACCACCAACCTGGACCACTCCAGGGGTAGAAAGAAACGTTTATTGGGGATGAGTAACCTATTGGGAGACTGCCATCGCTATCTCTGGGGTTGGGGATGGGAGTGGCCAAGAGAAGAAAAAGAAAAGGAAGCAGGTTGTATATGATAGTCAGCAGGGTGAAGGTCTTTGAGGTGATACTGGTTGTTTGGATCAGGTTGAGATGCCCTTGCCAATGGTAATTGACCTTTAGGAACAGAACAAGGGAAGTTCCTTGTAAACAAAAACCAGCCTTGAGGCTTCTGTTTTACCTAGCCAAAGTCCTTCTGTTTAGGACACTGTCACCAGGACTGCCATTTTGAGAGGCCCATTTTGGACTTCATGCTACTGAGCTGTATCGCTGACATTGGAGTGATCTTTAAGACATGGCAGAAGATCATCTCTTGAGAGCCTTTTCTGTTTATTCATTGCTAAACCCCCTGGCTTACTGTCAGTGAATGAATAATTTTCCAAATACATGAATAAATGCATAGAAAGTGTTCAGCTCCTTTTGAGGATCCATGATAAGAACTTCAATTTGAATCTGCCTATAAGCAAACTGTTTTAATCAACAGGATACTACATCACCATTGATTCCTAAGATAATCGTTAGGTCTGAGATACGGAGGTTGGAGGATTAGCAGGGAAACCTAGGCTTCCTGATCCCCAAGGAGTGACATCTTCCTAGAGGGGAACTTTCTTTTCACTTGAAATGCTATACAATTTCTAAACGCTGGAAATACCAATCAAAATAAAAGGAAGAGGGTATATGGAAGCCTTGCTTGTGGATTCTTTAATGGGATTGTCTAAAAAGGGAAATGGGTGTAAGAAGTCCTCTCAGTAGTAACTAATTTACAGCTCTCGGATGATGTCTATCATAGCGCTTTAATTTCAGAGTATATACTGCGGCACCCTGCCCAGCTCTTCAGATCCAGCTTTTATTACTTCTTCCAAATACCACGGTTCCCAGAGTTTATGTTCTCAATTAATGATTTCAAGGTAAGTCAAACAAATACTTTACTATTTTCATTATCATTTGTGACAAATATTTTAACAAAAATCCATCTTTAAGAATGAAAAATGAGCCAGGCAGTGGTGGCGCACGCCCTTAATCCCAGCACTTGGGAGGCAGAGGCAGGCAGATTTCTGAGTTCGAGGCCAGCCTGGTCTACAGAGTGAGTTTCAGGACAGCCAGGGCTACACAGAGAAACCTTGTCTCAAAAAACAAAACAAAACAAAACAAAACAAAACAAAACAAACAAACAAAAACAAAGAATGAAAAATGAAATGAGATAGTAAGACGTAATTAGTAGGTTTAGTTACTGTTCTCTTGTTGTGAGGAGACATCCTGACCAAGGCAACTTATTGTTGAAGGATATTAGATTATATACTGTAAACCATGAAACTGTGTTATTAACTGGGAAAAGCTGTTTTTACTGGTGGTGTGGCTCAGCACTAGCACACACCTTTGATTCAAGATCTTTCTGTTTACTGTAAACAGGATTAAATAAAGTCAACCATAGGTCAAGAGGTGGAGCAAGCAACCAGTTGACAGGGAGTGACCATAGAACAAAACAGAGAGCTTGAGAGGAGTCAGGAGGAGATGCACAGGAAGTAGAGGGAGGGACATTCAGTTTGAAGGGTTTTTTGAGCCAGCTTGGGGAAGGACATCTGTGGAGGAAGGTCAGCTGGGGTGCTTTCTCTGCCTCTCTGAGCTAGTATGCTTTTACCCCAGCATATGGCTCCCAAGTTTTTATTGGCAAAATTGAACATTTGAGATTTTGTTAAAAAAAAAACAAAAAACAACTTATAAAAGACAGCATTGAACTGGGGACTCTCTTACAGTTTCAGAGACTCAGTCCATTATCATCACAGCAAGGAGTATGGCAGCAGGCAGGTAGACATGGTGCTGGAGCAATAGCTGAGGGCTCATATCTGATCCATAAATTGCAGGCAGTGGAGTGGGGACTGGTGTGGGCTTTTGAAACTTTAAAGCTCACCCACAGCACAGTGACACCTCCTCCAACAAGGCCACACCTCCTAATCCTTCCCAAACAGTTCCACCAACTGGGGACCAAGCATTCAAACATATGAGCTTACAGAGGCCATTCTCATTCAGACCACACAGTAGGTTTAAAAGACACTCTGTCAGGCTTACTTATCTTTGTATCTCATTGATGAGTTTGAAAGCCTGGCTGTTCAGCTCTGTGCAAGGCTTGTATCTTATTGTTAGCGTCTGGAGTTTAAATCCAGTCATTTTCTCCTTCAGTTAAAGAATTAAAAATCAGGGGACACGAATATTTTTAACAAGAAATGTATCAACAGAGAAATCTCAAGCACGGCAATCAAGAGCAAACAAAATTAGCAGTTGAGGGTATTTAATGGGAATGAGGAAACACACATGCAGCAGGAATACAGAGAAAAAAGACAACTTGGGAAACAAAAAAACCCATCTCTTCTGGAGTGCTGGGGTTATTTAAGTCTCTGAAAGATCTCCCTCCCCTAATTTAGGGTAGGACACATTGAAGAAAGACAGAATGGCTGGTTAGCTCATATCTGTTGTTTTAAGCTGCAAGGTTTTTGTATCAGGTCAGGAAGGTAAGAAGCAGCTGTCTGTCTGTCTGTCTGTCTGTCTTGAAAGTTCTATTGTGTAAGTATGTTGAGCAGGTTCATCAGCAGGCTGAGAGAAAAAGCCCTTAATTTAAGCTTATATTTTTTTAAGTTTAATTTCTCAGGCTGTTTTAAATTTCTGGGCTCGAGAAACCCGACTGCCTCACCCTCCTGGGCAGCCAAGACTATGAACTCATACCAACACACAGGACTATTAGGACTTTTAAAATTGATTCAAATCCCTTGTTTCTTTGTTGTTTTTTTCTTTTAAAAGCACACAATGACACACACCTGTAATCCCAGCACTCAGGAGGCAGAGGCAGAAAGATTGCCACAAATCTTGAGTCCAGTCTGTCTTACATAGTGAGTGCCCGACCAGCCAGATGCTGTCTTGATAAACAAACAAGCAAATAAAGTTGAAGCAACTAGGTTGCCTCCTCTGAGGGAGGGCATACTTCCTCCCTGGCTGCTTCAGTGTGATACTCAGGCTTTCCCTGTGTTATAGATGCTGGTCTGGAGGCTTAATAGGGTTTTTAACTTGACAAAGATTTTCAAAAGGGGATACTATGCATTTCCTCATGTGTCCTCTCAGTTAAACCTGTTGTATCTGGTTGTCTCCATTTTAGTTACAGTGGGCTCCTGAGCTGATAGCCCAGCCAGGGTTTCCTGGCACTGTGCCAGGTTTACGTTGATACTAAGTTTATTATTTCAGCACAGTATGCAAAATCGTGATTTTCTAATTCCATCATTCTTTCTGCTTTTGATCAATTGGGATTTTGTAGTACATCTTCTGTTTAGTGGTTTTTAAGTACAAGATGACTGTATAAATGTTTCACGTCATGAGTATATATTTGATACGACAGTAAATACTCTTCATTATTGTTGTGAGGTCACGTCGTTCCATACCAGCCAGGTGGGGTTCCCTGCAGCCCAACTTCTGTTTCATTGTCGTGTAACTCCTTAAACTGATAATATTTAATGTTTCCCTTGGGAATCTGTTACTTCATGTTCTAGTCCAGAAGCATTCATTCAGTCACTTATTGATTTATTCGAGGAACTGTCATTTATTTTACTAAGAAATGGTATTTAGAGACCACAGTGTGGATTCAAGATGATCATTGTTATGGGGTTTCTAGATACTTCCATCACACAAAATCTGTGTGTTGTTTTTAGAAAGAATATGTGAATCATGAAATCTTATTTATATTTTCAAAACAAACTTAAGGCAGGATTAACTTCTTTGATGTTACATAAAACATTTGTAGCATTCCATATCAGGGCTTAAACAGAGTATATTCAGGGCAGTCTGGCTTGTCTGTCTGTCTGTCTGTCCACCCCGCTCCCTCCCTCTCTCATAGAAGACCATTTACTTAATGTCGTTTGTGTCTTTATGTTTTTGTAAGATATAGCGTATAGCCTATAATGTATACAAGTGTCTGTGTAAACAGTTGTAAACGTGCATGTGGCGTAACATTTTGAGAGGAGATCAAGGGTAAGATTATGAGAACAAGTGAAACACGTAGAAAGGACACAACAGTTGTAAATGAGATATAAAGTTAATTGTTTCTCTAGTTTCAACCAAGTCCTATGTTTTTTTTTCTTTTTTGAGATGATAATTTGGCATTTCTCCTTTCCCTCTCCTCGCTGAAAATCTCACATATCTCTCTCCCTACTCTCCTTGAAATCCTCGACCTCTTTTTCACTACCATGTGTGTATATACATATGTATTCCTATACATTACCTATTCAGCATGTATAATATTATTGTATGTACATCTTCAGGGCTGGCCGCTGGCACTGGACAACCAATCCATGTGCTTTTCCTTGGGGATAGCCACCTCTCCTGTCCCCAGCTTTCCTCTGTTGCCTAGAGTTCTCTTTGTAGAGTTGAGGCCCCGTGGGTTTTTCTTCATCTGCTGTGGCATGTCCATCAATATCATCATGGTTCAGCTTATGTTCTGACAGTCATGTAGGTGCAGCTTCTGACATTACTAGGAGACAGTCTCACAGTAAACTCCCTGATCCTCTGGCCCTTAAAATCTTTCTGCCCCATCTTCTGAAATGTTCACTGAGCCTCAGATGTGGAAATATTTTGTAGATGTGACCACCGGGACTAGGCTCCATGATTCCGCATTTTGATTGGTTGCAGCTTTCTGTAGTGACTTCTGTCTGTTGCAAAGTTTCCTTGTTGAGTCACATAGACTATTCTTGTCTATGGGCATAAGGACAAATATTTATAGATCGTTGTTAGGGATTATGCTGGTTTAGTAAAGTAGAAGTTGTTGATTCTCCTCTAACAACCATGCCTTCACTAGCACAGAGTTAGTTATGTTTCCAGCACCAGCCATGATCTCTCTCTTGTTGGACAGGCCTTAGGTCCACTTAGAGAGCAGTTGGTTACCATCAGGGCATGACATTATTGAGCCCTTAGTGTTAGCTTGTCACCCTGATCCTTGATGTGGTTCATAGGTATCATCAATAGGTAGGACTGCTGGTGACTTTCCTCCTTTGGAAGCTTACATGGTACTAGGCCTCAAAGAAGGGTATTCAGGGCAGGTTCCAGCCTAGGGATCTCTGAATCCCATTTCTGGAGTGCATGGTGTCTTCCACACTAAAGATTTACTTTTCACCCTTTGGGACAACCAAGAACAATAGCAATAGCCTGTGTGATTTAGGAATCACTTAGAGAATCTTGAAAGTAGGCTTCTCATGTCTGTTATTGGGTTTTTTGTGAGGTGGTCTTTGACTCTTTGAGGAAGCACTGTCAATTCAAATCCAGCTATATGTGTAATTATACATAGAATTATACATAGTATGGGGGTTTTAGGTAAATAGTTAATAGTATATTTTTGCATCTTTTCCAAACATCCTTACTGTTATTTTATCTACCCACTTCTTCTGTATCCACCTCCCTTTCTCTCCCTAAAGAACACCTCCTTTCTCATTTCCCGATCAGATCACATGTACCCTGCCATTCCCTTCTCTATTGCTTAACAACCCCCGTATCCTGGCAGTGGTCCTGTTTTCCTTCCCTTGTTTCTATAGCTACTACAGGATATACACGCACATCTGATAATTTGGAGCTAGGAGCCTCCAATAAGAGAACATAAGACATTTGTTTTTCAGGGTCTGAGTTACCTCACTCAATATTTTTTTCAAGTTCCATTGTTTCTCTCTCTCTCTCTCTCTCTCTCTCTCTCTCTCTCTCTCTTTCTCTCTCTCTCTCTCTCTCTCTCTCTCTCTCTCTCTCTCTCTCATTTCCCTCCCTCCCTCTTTCTCTTTGTTTCTCTGTGTATTTGTGTATTTGGTGTATTTGTGTATGTGTTTGTTTGTGTGTGTGTGCATGTGCATGTGTGCTGGAAAAGTACAAAAAATGTAATTGATAATGGGCATCTAAAATTGAAATGGGCATCTTAATTGAAGCTCCAGGGCTTCAGAATGCCCACTGTAACTATGTAGAAGGTCACTGAAATCTATAGTTTGAGGTTGGGCAAGTGCTTGCTTAATCTACCCAAACATTCTTTTATTTTTGAGTTTATTACAATCAAGTGATTCTTTACCCTTATACCCAGTGAGCAGTGGACAGTAGACACTAGTGTCTACCCTAGTGTTCTGTTTATTTTTTTTTTCTTTTTTTTTTCACCCAGTAATGTAGCCTAGTGATTGCTTCAGGTAAACGTATAGAAATAGTCTCTGTCTTTACATAAGAGCATGTTGTACACCAGAGTGAAAATGAACTTTATTTATTTCAACAAGCACTCAATTGATAGGCACTGAGTTTCTTCTGGTAATTTCCAATTACAAATAATATAATTAATCACCTCATGTTTATGCCATTTCATGTTTTTGCATGTGTTTTTGTGTGTGTGTAGGACTCGTGTGAAAAGTCATTCCATTTTTATTACTTGTGTGTGTGGTTGTTTGAAGGTGAGAGAAAAACTTCCATTGGTCAGGTCTCTTCTTACACCACCTGTATCCTGGGCTCAAACCCAGGTCCTTGGGTTTGGCATTAAGTGCCTTTGCTCCTGAACCATCTCAGGGCCTCTAGGATTCATATTTTAAACAAATATGACAATGGCTCTGAACAGGTTGCCTGTGCATCGGGAAATGATGCTGTAGAACAATGTTCCATGAAACAAAGGCAAGTCACTGAGGCAATTTAAAAGGTTGCAATTGGGACTTTAAAGCCAAGGGATAAAACTGGAAACCACCAGCAGAAGAGGTGATGACACTAACAGTCATCTCCTCAACTCCCACTCCACTTACTGAGGAAACTGCTGGGAACTGGGGTGTGAACTGGGTTGTGAAGTAAGGCCTTTCTACTATGGTTTGAGTAACTTTGAAAGAAGGATCTTTCTGGTCACTAAATAGTAGTTGAAAAATGAAGGAACAGTTTGGCAGGGAAACTACCTGGCACTCTTATAGAACATGAAGAGGCACCAAGATAGGATGCTTTTCATTGTGGTAAAATATGCAAAGGGATCAAAAAAGAAGAATAAAAAGAAATTAGGAAAGCAGGAATGTGAATTTCATCTATAAGCAATGAGACCCTGAGCTAGAGCAAAAGTTACAAGTTATCACTGCCATTCAGCTACCATATCCCCCGCATCAGCTACCATATCCCCACACCAACCACCATGCCCCCTTATCAACTATCATGTCCCCACATCAACTAGAAATACTATCTACCCCCATTTTTTGAGATAAGGCTCAGGAAAGCCAGCACGGCCTTGACTGAACTCGTATGTAGAAAAGATGATCTTGGCTTCTGATCCTCTTGACTCTACTTCTGAAGTGCTGTGATGACAGGCAAGTGCTCCCCTGCTCAGTTTAAGCAGTACTAGGGCTCAAACCATGTTTTTGTGTGTGCCTGTCAAGTACTCTACCAATTGTCAGCCCCCAACTCCCTTTAAAGTATGACTTTATTATCAGATAACTGACAATTGTAAATGATCTTCTTTTGCTTAATTAGGCTTTGAAGCACCTGTTTACCAGTCAGAGCACTGGCATTGGAAGGAAAGGACAGCAGCTGACAACAGAAGATCTAGAAGCTTACCTTTATGTCTTTTCTCAGCCTGGAGCACTAAGTGGTCCAATTAACCACTATCGAAACATTTTCAGGTGATTATAATTTCTTTTAGGTTAAGTAAAATACTTCATCTAAAGAGGTAATACTTTATTATTTTAAATTAAGTTTATCGCTTATTTAGAATGTCACACACATTTTCCCCCAGACATATCATATTCTGGGTATGTGTGTGTCTGTATGTGTGTGAGCATATGCGCATATGCATGTGTGCATGTGTGTCTGTGTGTGTATGCATGTATGTGCATCTGTGTGTCTGTGTATATCTGCATGTGCATATGCATGTACATGTATATCTCTGTGGGTGTTTCTGTGTGGGTATATTTGTGCACATGTGTCTCTGTGTGTGTGTGTGTCTGTATGTTTATGTGTATGTCTGTGTGTCTGTATGTGCACACACATGTGCATATATGTGTGCCTGTATATATGTATGTGTCTGTATGTGTGCACACACATGTGCACATGTGTCTGTGTGTGCATGTCTCTGTGTGTCTGCCTGTATCTGCATGTGTGTACACATGTGTGCATATATATGTATGTTTCTGTGTGTCTGCATGTATGTGTGTGTGCATGTGTGTCTCTGTTTCTGTGTATGCACACGTGCATGTGTGCATGTGTGTGTCTCTGTGTATGTACACACATGTGCACATGTGTGTATCTGTGTGTCTCTGTGTGTGCATGTATGTGTCTATGTGTGTGCATATTTATACATACGTGTGTGTGTGTGTATGTGATGTGGTCATACTATACAGTGCCTGTGTGGCAGTCAGAAAGGGTAACTTGGTGTCAGCCTTTACCTTCTAGCACTTTGTGTGAAGCAAAGTTTCTTTCGTTTTTCTGCTACACACCCCAGACTAACTGACCTGCAAGCTTCCAGGGGCTCTTCTGTTTCTGCCTCCCATCTCTCCATAGGAGTGCTGGGAATACAGATGTTTACATTCCCTATTTGCCTTTGCACGAATTCTGTAGACTTGAACTTGGATCTTCATGGTTATGTAGCCAGCACTGAGCCGTCTCCCTAGCCCCAGGCCCAATATTAATAAGTTTCTTTCATAGAAAATTTAAAATGTGGAACCGTGGAGAATTAAAGGTCCCTATGTGGCTATTGCTTGTTTTATTCATAATTCTTTCCTTTTGAGTGGATTAATTTTTAGTGTACTGTAACGATCATGTATTAATTCACTCAAGAAACATGCTTAAGAACATGACATGTCCTGGGCTGTCAGCAGTCGAGGTACAGTATTGAGCAAAACAAGACAAGGATCCTGAGCTCACAAACTTTGGCAGAGGAAACATACATTAAGTAAATAACCAGAGTCATGAATCCATTACAAACATACAGAAAATGGCTTTGGAAGAAACCCAAGGCCAAGGAGAGTGGGCTGGAAGGGGAATCTCAGGACTAGAGCTGTATGGGAAGATGGGAGTGTGACTTCATGCATCACAGGTGTGGAAGAAGAAGGGTTGGGAAAACAGGTAGGGAGTGTGGTGCCGAGGGAAATAAGAGTCAAATACTTTTAGTATCTTTAAACCAGTATGGGGGATTTAAAAAAAAAAAAAAACCTACCAATTCAAAGGAATCAGAAAAAGAGGGGAAAGGCAAAGAAACTGATATGAACCAAGATAACCAAGACAAAGGTAGCAGTCAGGCAAGGCAGTGCCAGCACTGGAAAGGCTGAGGTACAAGAATCATAAATTCAAGGCCAGCATGGGCTACACAGTAAAATCCTGCCTAAACAAAGAAAAAAATTCAGCAAGTCAGTGTCTTGGTTTCTTTTCTGTTGTGTGATAGAACACTCTGACGCACGCCATTTAAGGGGACAGGGTTTGTCTTATCACACAGTCCCAGGTTATAGAGATTATAATCATGACCAGAAAGTCAAAGATGGAACACCCCACCCCCACCCCAGAAAAATGTGTTTTACATAGCTCTAGGAGGAATCTTACCTCTCTGCCCTTTCTGAAGTTTTTTTTAAATCTGTTTTTACTATGATTGCTGACTGGGACTACTTGCACTGAAGGGTTAATAGAATTTTCACTTCTAGCAGACTAACAATACAAAGAACCAGGAGAGCAGCTCAGCTGGTTCTAGGGCTTTGTGCTACAAGAACAAGAACTTGGCTAACCACAAAGTAGATGATGTAAATGATATGGTTGAATAAGATTGAGCCTTGAGAAAAAAAGACCTATACTTCCCCATGATTGTTCCTCTAGCCCTGTCATATGCTGAGTAATGGACTGGCACTTTCTCGATGATTGTTTCCTGAACCCTGACACTTTCCACAGTTACCCCTCCCCACTCCCCCTGGGTTGTGGTTTTTTCCTTTAAATACCCTACTCTCCCCGAGCTGGGGACCGAGCTCCTCTGCCCCTGCGTGGGTTACAGGGTCTCAGCCTCAGCACACTGATTGAAATATACATCTTGCTGTTGCATCAAGATCGGTGTCTCTGAGTCTTTTGAGTAGTCATGAGTTCTCGTGGCTTGAGTGGGGGTCTCCCCTCCCCGGGGGCCTTTCAGCACCACCAGGAGAAAGCACTGTGAACTCCCAGAGATACAGAGCCTGTGAATGGCAAATTCATGACTTTGTTTGGGGTGTGTTGTACTTTTGTTTTCTTCTTTAGAAGTGTTTTACAGTGTAGCCTTGGTTGGCCTCGGACAGATTTCAGTTTTGTAAAGGCTAAATATGATTGGTTTATGTATATGTGTGAGTGTGTGTAGGTGTGTGTGCATGTGTGTGTGAGACTGTGTGTAGGTGTGTGTGAGAGTGTAGGTGTGTGTGCACGTGTGTAGGTGTGTGTGCATATGGGTGTGAGTGTGTGTAGGTGTGTGTGCATGTGGGTGTGTGTTGAGGCCTACCCAGGGTACCACCACTCAGCAGCCATGCACCTTGATCATTGATATGGTTTCTTACTGGGAAGCAGGGGCTTGTTGATTATACCAGGCTGGCCGGTCAGGAAACCAAAGAGACCTTCCTACCCTGGCTCTGCAGAGTGTAGTGCAGGCTACCCCTCTGTTTTTCACCTGGTTCTAGAGGTCCAAGTTGGTTCTTTATTGAAAGCAGTTGTGAAGTGCTGCATTCGGTGAAGAGCTGACTTGGGTCTTATTAGATCGGAACTATGAGATTCCTTTTTCGTTTTCCTTCTTTAGTGGCTTATTCTTTGTTTTCAGATAGGGTCTCGATTTTTGGCCCATGCTGTCCTGAAATTCTGTGTAGCCCTGAAATTCTGTGTAGCCCAGGCTAGCCCTGAACTTATAGTGATGGCCTGCCTTTGTGTCTTGAGTACTGAATTATGTTCACTAACACACTCAGTGTGTTGGAACAGTCTTAGTGCCCAATGCAGTATTTCACAATTATTCTTCATTACCACTTTCCAAAGGAGCTTTTTAAACATTTCCTCCAAATTCACCCTCCCAAGAACCAATTTTCAGCCCTTTAAGAAGATATAGTACTATCCTCTTTGAGGAATCTATAACCTTCATTGAATGTTATGAAGACCATTACTCAAAGTTCCCCAGGAGTTCTGAAGCCAATGTGTTTGGATTTTATAGCTGCCTGCCTCTCAAGCATCACATGGTGACGACCCCGACACTGCTTCTGTGGGGAGAGGAAGATGCATTTATGGAGGTTGAGATGGCCGAGGTCACAAAGATTTATGTTAAAAATTATTTCAGACTCACCATTTTGTCAGAAGGTAGCCACTGGCTTCAGCAAGACCAGCCTGACATAGTGAATGGACTGATATGGGAATTCCTGAGGGAAGAAACAAGGAGAGACTGACTTTATCTCCTACGGGGACTTGCTCATGGAATCTCCAAAAACCTCTTAAAAATTTGTTCCTCAACTTATGTTTTATTAGAAAAAATACCTGTTTTAATAAGCTTGATTATAAATAAATATAGTGACACATGGTACTGAAAAATCAATCTGTAATTCTTTTTCATTGTATTTGCACAGAAACCCATCTGCCTTAAAATGGAGAGTTATACAAAAGGTACCTGGAGAACATGGCTCACATTTGGCTCCTTGTTTCCGTTATCCTATTAACACATGGTACCCTTTACAAACACTTGTGATCTGAGCTAGGCCAAAGTATACACGGCGGATCTGCAATCTCAAATATTTTAATCTCATTGTTAAAACATTGTTTCTACTATATTGTTTCTAGCCATTAAAAATTCCAACATCAACTCCCATGACTTTATAATCTATAAAGGAATCTGAATAACTTGGCTAGATGAGTCTTTCAGGAAGTGGATCTTAGGTTCTGTTTATGATGAATGATTAAACTCTATTTGAAACTGGTATGTGCTACATCAACCAAGTAGGAAAATATCTCTTTACCTCTTCAGTGCTGTAAGAAATTAATACTATAATTCCTTTGAATACTAGAATCCAAGTTCTACAGGGCAAGATATAATTTTTTAAAGCTGATGTACATTGTGTAGAATAACATCCTGCTGCACTGTAGGCATGCAATTTCTTATGAACAAATGCAGTCCCAAGACTGTTAGCAGACCTCAAACTGCAGATGACTAAAACCCTATATGACAGATGCTTTTCCGTCTTAACTAAGCCCTTTCTGTGTACTGTGGCTGTGACTCGGTTTGAGGTATGATGATCAAAATAGCACCGATCTCTTTCTCTATTTTCACAGCATACTTTTTTTTTTCATTCCTCATGGGAAATATCTACCTTTTTAATTAAAAGTAGTACTTATGGCTTCTCTTTGGCACTTTGGGACTGTTAGTGGGTGAGATTAAGTAACACTGAACAATACACGGATCCTCTTTTGCACAAGTGATGCACATCAGGATAGTTGATCTGGAAGTTGAGTGGATAGAGGCACATGCGGCCCCGATATCTTGGACAGAGAGGATCTGCATCCCCAGGTGGGGTGAAGCTGAACAAGGGGAGATTTTTATCATGCTGCTCAGATTACTGTACAACTTAAAACACTTATGCATCATTTCTGTGATTTTTTTCACTTCATATTTTTAAACCCTGATGGATCATAAGTAACTAAGACCATGGTTGAGGGTCAGGGACTGACTACTGCGGTACAATGTTATAGTCAAATATTACACCACATCTGGCCCACAGAGTATAAAAGAAATATGGCGTGAGAACTGTTTCTTAAGAAGCATTTAGGCCGGGTGGTGGTGGCGCATGCCTTTAATCCCAGCACTTGGGCGGCAGAGGCAGCCGGATTTCTGAGTTCGAGGCCAGCCTGGTCTACAGAGTGAGTTCCACGACAGCCCAGGCTATACAGAGAAACCCTGTCTCAGAAAACCAAAAAAAAAAAAAAAAAAGAAGAAGCATCTACAGTATGCAATTAAAGAAAGCCGAGGAAGTAGAAAAGGTGAGTTGTATAATAACAAGTCACAGAAGAAAAACAGTGCTGCTCCAGTCACTGCTGTCCACTGTCTTGGGATATCCTCTCTGGCAAAAGAGGCAATTAGTAACCTGGCAAGTCACAGCACCTTAATGACACTTCCTTCATTATAAGACAGTCCTCATAGTGACAGGAGAATGTGGAGTGTCCTCAGAATTCTCCTTGTGCCATAGTAACCTCTAGGCATAATAAAAGCTCAATTGTTTACAACTTTATACTGGAGCCTCGAAACAAAAGTGCACGGTAGGGAATATGGCCAACTTAAAGATGTGAGAAGGCTTTAACATGTAACTTTGCTGATTCCCCTTGTGTAATGTTGGAACCTGGAAGTAACCTTCCACAGAGATCACACCTTGCTCATCCAGCTTTGGTACCCACAGCTCTTCCTGTTGTAGGACTAACTTGATAGTGTCAATAGATGTGAACTCAGGGACCTAAACGATCACTTTCACTCTGGGGAAAGGAATTCAGATTACCAGTTAGCAACCATGAATCCTCAGTGCAGCATGGGCAGGACTGTGAGTGCTTCCAGATCTAGAAGAGAGCCTAGTTCACACTAACTGAGCTCCATGACTTCCCAAGGACAGTAGGAAAGAAGAGACTCGTCCCGAGGCTGTGCTAACACAGTTAAGTAGATCTTATTTTAGTCAAGTTTTTTTTTTTTTCAGTTTAGAATGTAGACTAATGTTAACAATATAAACCCCATATGTTATAGTCAACTCTGGCCTATTAGAATTCCCTAATTTTTTTTCTTTGTAAATGACTAATTTTGTAAGGGGTGGATTTCATTTTGGCATTTCACACGAACACATTGTGCTCTCTTCTCACTCTCCCCCTCCTCAGCTGCCCTCTCCCCCTCCCTCTCCCCCTCTTGCTGGTTCCCTTCTCTACCAATTTTTTCTCTCCAGTCACAGAGCCTATTACTCTCTCTTTCTCACCTGTTCCTCTCTTAAAATCTATTCTTCAAATTTCTATGTATGGAAAAGGGCTCATAACACAAATTCTAAGGTGGCCTTCCTTACACTTCTTGGCATAAAAATAATGAAATCAGCAAAGTAATCCATCCGAATGGAGAGTGGACGAATTTCACGAGTTAGTACTCACAGCAGCCCACAGCAAACTTTCCTGGAATTGTCACTTAAGTCTGAGAGTTGCAATTCATATCAAATTCATATCTCCTTAGTAAGTACATAGGAGTAATATAATACCAGAAAGTGTTATGTGAAAATTTACTAACCATATATATGACTAAAACCAACAGCACACCGTGATTGTTCTCTTGATGAGATTCTAATTCTCCTGCGGATTTTTTTCTTATAATTTTCAAGGTAGTGTATCATTTCCTATTAACCAACAATTAGCTATAAGGGTGCTAATTAGATGCAAACGGAAGTAGCCCTTGGATGTGGAGAATACGCTGAGAATCAGGCTTCATGGCTCATCTGACCCAGCGCAAAGATACCACAGACACCACAACTGAGGTGGAGGTGTGGGACAGCAGGACTGCGCAGGAGCTGAACAAGTCCTTATATCCTCCGGCAGTAGCCAACCCCTTCACTCACCCCACACACCTGAGTGCTTGGCGCTGGGCCTGCACCATCATCCTGGGGACTGTGCTGGTACCCGTGCGGGTGTCCTGTATTGTCTTCCTCCTCATCCTTCTCTGGCCAGTGGCTGTACTCTCTGCCATTAACTTGCCTACTCACCCTACCAATCCTATGAGGAGTTGGAGGAAACATCTGATAAAGCCGGTGCTCATATTCTTGTTTCGTTTGGCGTTCTTTTTTGCTGGGTTCCTGGTTAAGGTCAAAGGGAAGAAAGCCACCAGAGAGGAGGCCCCCATCTTTGTCACCGCACCACACTCCACCTTCTTTGATGCAATTGCTGTTGTTGTGACCGGGCTCCCTTCGGTGGTCTCTGATAGTCAGCATGTGAGGATCCCATTGGCTGGGAAATGCATCCTGTTAACTCAGCCTGTGCTTGTGCAACGAGAAGACCCGAATTCTAGAAAGACTACCCGGAATGAAATTCTCACTCGAGTGAAATCTAAAATGAAGTGGCCGCAGATTCTGATTTTTCCAGAAGGAGTGTGCACCAACCGCTCCTGTCTTGTTACTTTTAAACTAGGAGCCTTCTCCCCAGGTGTCCCTGTGCAACCAGTGCTGCTTAGGTACCCCAACACCCTGGACACAGTGACCTGGACTTGGCACGGATTCTCAGGCTTCCAGATATGTATGCTTACTCTGAGTCAGCCCTTCACTAGATTGGAGGTCGAGTTCATGCCTGTTTATACGCCAAGTGAAGAAGAAAAGAAAGACCCCATCCTTTTCGCCAACACAGTCCGAATTGCCATGGCAAACGCTCTGAAGCTGCCCGTAACTGACCACAGTTTCGAAGACTGCAAACTGATGGTTTCTGCTGGTGCACTTCAACTACCCATGGAAGCCGGCTTGGTGGAATTTACAAAAATCAGTCAGAAATTGAAATTAGATTGGGACAATATCCACAAGCACTTGGACAAATATGCTTCAGTTGCAGTCTCCTCAAAAGGAGGCAAGATTGGAATTGAAGAGTTCTCACGTTATTTAAAACTCCCAATTTCAGAGCCCTTGAGACAGCTTTTTTCTCTCTTTGACAGGAATCAGGATGGCACCATAGACTTCAGAGAGTATGTGATAGGTCTAACTGTCCTGTGTAACCCAGCTAACACAGAGAAGATTCTGCAAATGTCATTTAAACTTTTTGATCTTGATGAGGATGGTTATATAACAGAACAGGAGTTGACAACTATGCTTCGGGCAGCTTTTGGAGTGCCAGACCTAGATGTTTCCACACTCTACCAGCAGATGGCTGGCAAGGATTCGGCTCAGGTTTCATACAGGACTTTTAGGAGGTTTGCCCTGAAGCATCCAGCATATGCCAAATTATTTCATTCATACATAGATCTCCAGACAGCCTATATATATTCATTACCAGGAGAGGCATAAACATTTCCCTAATATTAAGATGTTTGAGGCATCCTTAGAAACAGGAAAAGAACTTTTAGGTGGAAACGACGAACTAAATAAAAATTACCCTTTGAGGGAAAACTCAGTGGTTTTTACTCTAAGTAGCATGGATACTGTCTTGGAAAAAGCAACTTGGGGAGGAAAGGGCTTCCATCTTTGAGGAAAGCCAGGCCAAGCACTCAAGCAGAAGTGATGGGAACCACAGAGGGTGCTGCTTACTGGCTGGCTCCCCATGGCTCACTCAGCCTGCTTTCTTATGCAACCCAGGACCACTTGCCCAGGGGAGGCACCATTCACAGTGGGCTGGGCCCTCTCACATCAATCAGCATTCAAGAAAATGTACCACAGACTTGTCCACAGGCTGGTCTGATGGAGTCAATTCTTCAGTTGTGGTCCTCTCTTCTCAAATGGCCCTAGTTCGTGTCATGCTGACAGAAACTAACCAACACAGATATTATATTTTAAATAAGCTTGAAGAGTTATAATACCCTTCCCTCCCTTAAGATAATGTTCACTGGGCACAATGGCATGTGTCTTGTAGTCCCATCCACCCAGAAAATAAGAAGCAGAAACATGGCTTTACAACCTAGCAAACAGACTCAGACTTCAAATGATTTACAGATTGCTCTGAGATTTTCCTTTTCATTGATAATAAACTGTCCTTAAGCTCCAGTTTTCATTCTTAAATTATTTTAATATGAAATGAAGAACTCCAACAAGGGGACCCTGATTTTCCAGGTGTCGTTTAATGGCTCTTTACTGGAACTCCCTAGGGTTTCTGGCATTTCTGGCATGATTTCTTTCTTGCTTTTTAATTCTTTAATTGAGAGAAAAGAGCTTTAGAAAGCATCAAAAGGATTCTATATTGTACTATAGAGATACTTGCTCAACCATGATTGTTGCTGCTCTATTCAGAATAGCTAGAAAGTGGAATGAGTGTATGTGTCCATCATTGGAAGAATGGGTAATGAAAATGTATTGCATATATGTGTAAATGAGGTCATGGTAAAGAAAGGCTCTTATTGTGGTTAGGAGAGAGAGAGAACAGGCAGAAACATCAGGAAAACTCCAAAACAGAGAAGATGAGAATAGTCAGGGTGGGGGTGGGGGGTGGGGAGGGAACTTTGTTTTTATAGAGAGGATGGATGGGTATGCGGGAGGATAGAAGCCTGTGAGGTGTAATAGCCTGGAAGCTAGCACAGTGGAGGGGGAGAGGTTGTGGGGGAATGAGTAGGGCCCGGAGGCTAGTATAGACACTGAAATTTATATCGGGTACTTGTGAATAGAGAACTTTAGGAACTTAGACGTTAGCATGGATTTTGATCTGCTGATGGGGTGCCACAGATGTATGTCAATAGAGAACCATATGTGTCACTTCTACTAGAGGATATGGAAATGCCTTTTTTGCATACAAGGAATCTGGTTCACAACTTCCTGAGAAATATTTAATCTAACTGACAGAAATATTTCTACAGTCCAGCTTGAGCTGAGCTTAGACTGAATTTTGGACCAAGCCAGGGGCCTGCCCTTTTGGGGTGTTTTAGGGTACCCTTTTGACCTGACAATACATAATGGAAATTGATTTAGCTGTAAAGGAAAAAAATAAAATGACTTAACTTGCATATAAATGCATGGAATTGGGAAATATATATGGAGGTCACTCAGGTGCAGAATAAAAACACTTTATAAATGGATGGCATTATATGGTTAAGGGGAAGGTTTTTATTGCAGAAATGTAGGAGAGAACACCTAGAGGCATCTGGAAGAATCCAGAGCAGAGAGAGAAAGTGGTAGACTGAACAGGATCAGCAGACTGGAACTGGCCTTGGGAGAAGAGCATAGATAGATAGACAGACAGACAGATAGCAGGAGAGCAGAGGGAGGGAGGGAAGGAAGAAGAAGGAAGTGAGGGAAGGAGGTGGGAAGAGCATAGCCAAAATAGCAGGATTATAAGGAGAAAAGGTAAGCCCATGAGCTGGAGACATTTACTGTTGTGGAGGAGGTAAGAAAGGCAGCATGCTAACATAAACTGTAAAATGTGTAACAGGTACTTGTGATACTGAGGGAGCCTGGAAGCAAGCATGACCTTTGGTATGCTAACACACACCACAGATAGCTCCTTTGGTAGAAAGGGATTGGCTTCATAAGTTTCCAAGAAATGCTGGATTTTTATCTAACCACCAGAATTTGGAGAGATGGAATTTCATTTGGACTCGACACACTGCACGTTTGCACTTAATAAAAGCAGATCCTAGCTTAAAGAGTCTTCAGCGTCACATGTTCAATTTAGAATACCTATAAAAGCTTTACAACTTAAGAAGGAATATTGGGGTGAGGAAGCCCTCCCCCCCAAAAAAAGGCAGATAACTTAATAGTTGTGATATGAAACCAGCTGGGCAGGGGCATTAAGCAGCCATGAAAGCAGGGAGCTGTGAACTGTGAGAGGGTTAACCTTCAGGTTTTCTTAATCAAAATCATTTATTCCTCAAAACTAAGCTCTAGGTGTAATGAGCATAGTAAAAAAAACAAAAACAAAAACAAAAAAGTGCATTTTTAGATTTGTAAAAACAGCTTAACCAGGAATTCCACTACTCTCCAGGCTGCACATGATAACCAAAACCAGTGGCATCACTTAAGATAATCAGACACAGGCCTCGAATCACACCAGTAGATAGTAGATAAACAGTGTATAATCAGTGACTAAGAGCAACGCTCTGCTCTGCACTTCTGGAGCGATGTCACCTTGATCTGCCATGTGGCTGGAGAGTCCCTCTCTCCCAGGACCCTGACTCTCAAATCAAAGACTACTGTTAGGATAGTCTAAGACAGGCTGACTCCGTGACAGGCTTCAAACTGGCTGTCAAGGAGACTAGGCCTAAGACTGGGCAAATCCAGGCAAGTCAGTTACTAGAAAAAACTCCAGGCTTCAGGCAGCGAGTCAGAAACTGCCCTGCCATCAATAAGCTGACCAGGCACATGGCCTAAAGCAAGGGCAATGGGTCTGCAACAGTTTCCAGTCCCCACACCCTCGTAACAGAATATCCTTAGAGATAGAGCAAGATGAAGGTCACCTACTCCAGAATCCCCTAATGTGCTTTAAATCGGCCAGCGAGCTCACTTGACTGTCTCTCTGTCTTGGTAATGGGAGACTTCATGCTGGACTTCTGCAAAATAAAACACTCTTTGTGTTTACATACAATTTGAGTCCTGGTTATCATTCTTCTGGGAGTACATAACCTTCAGCTAAGATGTATCACCCAGTAAGTAGCCTTAGGACCATGGGAATTTAGAGTGTGAGCCTCGTGTGATGACCCTCAGCATACTAAAATATAACTTGTGCTATACCAACTATGCCTATCTACCTCCTTGCTCACGACATTAATACTACTGGAAAACTCTGGTGACACTCCCCACCCCCCATCTTTCATAAATAAAGAGGGCAGAGGATGCAGACACTCCAGGAAAACACATACAAACGGTACTCGCATTGATTTCAAGTCCCTTCTCCATAACACTCATTAAACGGTTGACTAACACCAACCAGTAAGAAGAAAGAAAGGCATAAACCTCTGAGGATGTTCTCCTTCAGGGAGATTAGGAGGTCGCTAGCAGGCCGATGTAAACAGAGCGAGTGCGCACGCGCAGCAGCCCCCGGTCACGTGGCTGCGGGCTTTCATTCCTAGGCTCGCGGTACCGGATCCGCGGTGTTTAGGGACCGGCCACAAACTAGGTGGGGTGGGAACTTTCTTTCCGGGTCGGACTCCGCGGCGGGTTGCTGGGCTCGGGAACGCCCCCGTCCCGGTCCCGCGCGGCCTGTCACCCGGGGTGTGTGGCTGACATGGCCCACTGTGGAGCGGGTGGCGCGGCCCCGGCGGGTCTTCTGAGGTCCCCGGGGCTTGACAGGAAAGGGCTGCCTAGGAAGGGGCCCGGGGAGCGGCGCCGGCTGAAGGCGGTGGTGTCGGAGCAGCTCAGCCGCGACGTGCTCAGGTAGGAGGCGGGAGCAGCGTTGCTCACTCCCTCCCCGCCTCGCTTCAGTCCTGAGGCGCCTGAGAGTGCTCGCTGGGCGCCTCCCTCCCAAGGAAGCTCAGACCGACCCAAGGAACCAGTCAAGGAGGACAAAAATTAGACCACCAGTTTTTCTAAGACTCATACACCGTAGTGGCTGTTATTGAGTTCGGGCTGCGTCCAGATCCTGAAACGCATACCATGTCTTTAAAAAGTTGTAAGAAAAATTATTCAGTTAGGAAAACGAGCGTTTACTTGTAATGAATGACAGAACAGTGTGCCTCTAACGGGACAGCTCAGGGTCACAGCTACCATTAAGTCCCCTATGCTCTTAGCAGGGAAAGCATAATTCTGACAGGTGGGCAGGATGAACCCGGCCATTAACTGGAGTATGTGTTTGTCGGGGTAACCATACTGGTGTAGTGAAAATAATTCTGGCAATATCTCTGCTATGCAAACACTCCATCCCACCCAAGTGGTCAGACTTTCAGACTCCTGTTTCTTGAAATTGTTGAAAGTGCAGACTGGGGCTAGGACTCCATTTAAGGATGACAGCGTATATGAAAAATGCATTTCCTAAGGTGTGTATAAGTTAGTAAAAATTTATTCAAGGCCAGCTCTTTCTTAGGCAATAATTAGCCATACCCAGACTCGTGATAAGTGTGGGAGTGATTTCTTACTGGGAATGCATATTATTTCTATAATAGTGTAGGTGAAGAGAACCAAACTCAGGTCCTCTGCAAGAACAATATGTGCTGCTAACCTCTGAATCATTTTACTGACTTATTGTACAAAACTTTCTTTTGTTTATTTGGGTTTTGTTTTTTTGGGGGGAGGGGGGTTCTCAATGTGTACCAGGATCACGGATCAGTCTGTCTCTGCCTGTCATTAGAGGCATACGCCACCACACCTGGCTTTATTCTACAACTCTTACTGTGAAAAACTGTGGAAATTTGGGGATCTTCACATTGGGTTCATATGTTTATCAGAAAAACTGAGGTCTTCTTCATAGTTGTCATAGTCTCATTAATAAAATAATTTAAAAACGGACTCAATAGGCAAGCTACATATCTTGGCAGCTGCCTGGAAGCATTGGGGGAAGAGAAAGCCATGCCTTTTATGTCATGGTCTGAGAAAGCTGCTAGGCTCCCCAGTGGAGGACAGGTGCTGTGTGATATGTGAGGTATTTCCAAAGAACAGTGAGAAAGTCCAGAGTATGTGGGCCAGTATCTGAAAGAAAAGAATAGTAATAAGGAAAAGAAAAACTTATGCCTTGAGTTAGGACTCAGAAAAGCAGGCAGGTTTCTACTGTTAGAGGAGACCACTTGCTCGAGGTGACTACTCACAGTTTATAGCCAATTTAAAGTATTTATTCCTATTGGCTGTAATTCTCTAAGGGATTTTTGTGTTTCCTCTTTAAGAGCATCTACCTGTTTACCTGTGTTCTCCTGTATTTCTTTCAGGGCGATACTTATGTCCTTCTTGAAGTCCTCTATCATCATCATTATGAGATGTGACTTTAAATCAGAGTCTTGCTTTTCTGGTGTGTTGGGGTATCCAGGGCTCACTGTGGTGGGAGAACTGGGTTCTGATGATGCCAAGTAGCCTTGGTTTCTGTTGCTTATGTTCTTGCCCTTGCCTCTTGACATCTGGTTATCTCTGGTTTTAGCTAGTCTTGCTGTCTCTGACTGTAGCTTGTCCCTCCTGTGTGTAGTAGGAGGACAAAAATTAGACCACCAGTTTTTCTTTTTTTTTTTTTCACTGTCAAAAACACGTTTACTGTGACTCTCATATTTAAGAGCCTGCTAGTAAGTAGGGCAACTATTTTTTTTTTTGAACATGAAATGCTTTTTTATAGCATGTTTTACAAGGGGAGGGGGTAAGAGGGTCCAGGTGGTGGAAAAGTACAAAATCTTCTTGGCCTGTGCCTTGAAACATGTCATGGTCTATATGGTACACTGCCTTGAATTATGATCTACCTGCAGTTCTTCAGAAGATATGGTACACTGCTTGAGTTATGGTCTCCCTGCTATTCTTAAGAAGACATGGTACTCTGCTTTGAGTCTATCTGCAGTTGCTAAGCAGGATCTTGCAGTTGCCAAGCTTCAGAGGACATTGTGCAGGTGGGGAAAGGTAGGGGGTGAGGGTAAGGGCGAGGGTCCTGGCTTCTGGCATCTCCCCCTTCTCTGTTTAGTTAGAGAAGGCATCTTATGTTCAATCCCAACTATGTGAGTTTTGAATTTGGATGTCTAATTATGGGGGGGTCTTAGACAAGTTCACAACCCCAAAACACTGATGTGAGACGAGTCACATCGATGGTCGAAGGCTTTAGGCTGTCGACGATGGGCAACGTCAAGGGACTCTGATGTGGGTGAAAGGAGGGTGAGAGCCCTGTCTTAGGCCATGTAGGCTGCACCCACTCCCAGCACCACGCACTCCTTTTCGGCTGCATTGGGTGGGCCCCTGGGAAGTGGACCTACAATAATCCCGTCATTGGGCTAACTCACAGCCATCCTAGTCTCTTGTAAATGTTCAAGTTACCAACCATTTGTCAGTTTGGGGTGTAATATTGTCATAAAGGAAGGCTCCCCAATGTTAGCGGCCATATCAAGGGTGGCCTTGGTTTAGGAAAAAGCCAATTTTTGTTGTGGTGATCAAGAGGCCAAGCTCTCTAGCGAGAGAAATGAGGGCAAAGCCAGGCATACCAGGAACCCTTCTGGAGGGCGTGGAAGTCTAGGGGTCGACCGTAGGGAGAGGCAGGGGAGCTGACAGCTGTGTCAGTCTCCTGCGGAGTCACTTCTGGATCCTCTGCAATTTTCAGCTGATGGTAATGAACTTCAACTGCCTTCTTGATGGCAGCATCAACCTGGTTCCGTGGACGACAGGTCACGGGTGATGATCTCTGTCTTGCTCAATCTTGATGTCGTTCGCACATCCTCTCAATGAGGGTCCGTCCGGATGGGTCCGTGCCTCAAGCCCCACGTCTGGGTGCCACTTGACCCGACCGGCGGGTCCTGGTTATTCGTGGGGGCGAGGAGGACTGCAACCTGCTATTCTTCAGAAGATATGGTACACTGCTTGAGTTATGGTCTCCCTGCTATTCTTCAGATGATATGGTACACTGCTTTGAGTCTATCTGCAGTTGCCAAGAAGGATCTTGCAGTTGCCCAGCTTCAGGGGACCTTGTGCAGGTGGGAAAAGGTAGGGGGTGAGGGTAAGGGCGAGGCTCCTGGCTTCTGGTCCATCTGGGTTAGAACTTCTAATAGCAGGCATCACGGGTGATTCAATTTTACCTGGAAAGAAAAAAGAACCACCAGTTTTTCTAAGACTCATACACCAGTAGTAGCTGTTACTGAGTTCGGGCTGCATCCAGACCCTGAAACATATACCATGTCTTTAAAAAGTTGTAAGAAAAATTATTCAATTAGGAAAATGAGCGTTTACTTGTAATGAAGGACAGAACAATGTGCCAGTACTGTGTGTCAGTACTCCTGAGAGACCAGTTCTCTCGGGAGGAATTTGAGTATGAAGAGCTGTGGCATGGAGTCAGCTCCGGGCATAGATGGAAACTGGAAGGATCCTGTTCCTGGCTGTTCCTTGATTCCTGTGCCCTGATGGCTCTGAGTGGGTCCTTCTTGGGCCAGGAATTTGAACAGAAGTGGTGGTGTTACCTGTGCTCACAGGTGTGTTGGCACTCCTGGTGGGATTTGGGTATGGAGTGCTGTGGCACAGGATCAGCTCTAGGAGCAGATGGAAACCAGAAGGATCCTGTCAGCTGGAATCTCTTGGCCTTAGATTTCTACAATAGAGTTGGGTAATTTTTTTGTGAAATTCTCTATAAGGAGACCAAATTCTAGTTAAACCTGAAATTCAGGCCGCAGCAAGAATACAAGATAGAGGAGCCTCTGTACTGTCTTGCTCTGTCACACTGAAGGATGGGCTTCTGGGGCTGGAAAAGTATATTATCTCATTAATATTCCTCTGGGGGCGGTGTACTCTTAGACGGCATCACTTGCTACCTGGATTATCATACAGTTTCTCTGCAGAAGTTACCTTACTTAATTAACTAGCACATGACGTTAACTTCGGCTTGATATGCAGTCCAGTTAAGATGAGATTAAATTATTGAGATTTATGGTAAAAACCAAGGTTATATAAATATATTTGACTCTGTCCTGATTAGCTTTATGTCAACCCGACACAAGCTAGAGTCATAGGAATGAAACTCAATTGAGAAAATGCCTCCCTAAGATCCAGCTGTAAACATTTTCTTAATTAGTGATTGATGGGGAAGGGTTCAGCCCATTGTGTGTGGTGCTACCCTGGGCTGGTGGTCCTGGGCTCTATAAGACAGGCTGAGCAAGCAGCTTCTCTCCATGGCCTCTGCATTAGCTCCTGCCTCCCGGTTTCTGTTCTGGTTGAGCTCCTGTGGTCACTGCTTTTTAATCCATGGAACTGCAAAACAAATCTCCTTTCTTCCTTAAGTTGCTTTGGTCATAGTATTTCATCGAAGCAATAGTCCTAAGACAGATTGTTTTATCTTGAAGATATTTGTGCTTATGGCAGACAAAATGACAGCATGTGAGGGTGGATAGGTTAAAACTGTAGATTGTAATAGGGCATTCTTTCTCTAAAAAACAGAATCAACACCTAGATCTTGACTTTGGGAAAAGAGAAGTTAGAAACAAAGAAGTCAGGTAAGAGATTTTATGATAGCTGAGGGCTACATGCTAGCAGTGGAAATGGAAAAGTTACAGGGTTGTTGAGTGAATATATGTGGGTGAGCTGAGACAGGGAAGGACAGGAAATGGTTGAAAAGGAAATATATATGACTATGCAGGAGACTGTATCCTGACGACAGTTAGATGTGCATCTGAAGAGATGAGCTGAAGAGAGATTGGCCGAGCAAGTACAGATGAAGGGCATCACCAGCACCCAGTTATCTATCCAGACCAAAGACTGTCCGCCTTCACCTCCCACCT